TATTGTAATAAGTAATTAAATATATAAGTATTATAATAATCAATTAAATATATATATATATATGTAAATATTATATTTAATACTTATAATAAGTAATTAAATATATAAGTAAAAATTTGAAAAATTCTCTAGAGGGGCGGCACATTAGGTCTTTGCACACAGGCGGCCGACACCCTAGGATCTGTTCTGTTAGAAGGCAAACACTTACACATAGCCACCTAAATTTAATTATTTCTTTCAAAATATTTGTTCTCTTTAAAAAAGTAAAAATAATGAAAGTTCTTAATAAATTTTTACTTACATGCATTCAATAAAGACGCAGTGTATATGTAAAATTTCTATAAAACTAATTCCAAACATAAGTCTCTTAACAGACGAGGAAATACTCTAATGGTCTATTACTTTAATAATTATTAAACCAAATAGTTAACATTGAAATGAAAGCGTAAATATATATTCGTCTTTCTCTTAGGCTTATTCCAATTTGTGAAGAGCGAGGTAGACCAGTGGTCATACTCACGGTCTCTTGGTCGGAGTGTTGTGGCCACGGTAGCCTAGTGGTCAAGGTATCGGATCGTGGCTGGCATGTCACACGTTCGAGCCCAGTACTACTAAAAACTGGCTGTGTAGGCGAGCGATGCACGTTAAATCTGTCGAGAGTTCAAACGTCCTCCCATACGTTAAGTATGGTGTTAGGAGAGGGGGTAGCCAGCTCAGGTGCCGTCCTTGTCATTTGAGCATGGTTAAAAATTACGAGGTCCATCGCCATTTGCCCTCGTGTAGCTGAACAGGGCGACGTTAATACTCACTCACTCACTTGGCCGGAGTGTTATTAATTAAGGCCCTTGTACCTTTTAAGACCTATCGTATAGAGGGACTGGTGCACGTTAAAACTGTCGAGACTCAACGTCCTCCCATTGGTGTGATGTGGAAGTTCGAAGAAGGGGTGCCAGCTCAGGAGTTGTCTTCGTCACTTGACCATGATTCAGAATTGCGAGTGAATAAATATTAACGTCGCACTGTTCAGCTACACGAGGGCTTTTGGTGACGGACTCGTAAGTTTGAACCACAGTCAAGTGACGAGGACGACACCTGAGCTGGCTCTCCCACTCCGAACTACCACACCACACCATCGGAAAGACGTTTGAGCTCTCGACATATTTAACGTGCATCACTCTCCTACATGGTGGGTCTTTAGTGGTACTGGGCTCGAACTCGTGACGTGCCAGCCACGATCCGATACCTTGACCACTAGGCTACCGTGGCCACTCAAAATTGCGAGGTCCGTTCACAATGCGACGTTAAATAAGCAATCACATTGTATCGAAGAGTGATCATTGAAATCAGTGATTTAATTTTACCTTTTCTGTTTACTTACTAAGAGAAGAAACAAAATTTTATTCCGTTATTGGGAACTTTCGAAAATTGTAAACACTTGCTGTAAAATTTCTCCCGTTCTAAGTTATTCATTCGGGTATCTATAGAAGTAAACTATAATTATTCTTGCGTAAGGTAGTCAAAAGTTTTCGATATATTTTTGAAGGGATAACTTCTTTAGGCGTATTTTGCTGAAGAATGAATTTAAGCGAAACTTCAGGTTCGGCTGCGTTACGATAACTCGGTTTTTTCCCTTTCTGGTAGGAAATCGTGCTCGGATCGAGACGATTCTCGCTTAGTTTTGAATTGAAAACTTTTTAGGTGCGTATTTTGCTTTTAAGTAAAAGTTTCATGCGCACTTTTTTCCTGGAAGTTTTATTTTCTTCCTTTAAATATTACTGTCGTACAGCTCCCTTCCACTCAACTTCAGTGAGTGAACGAGAGAAGTTGAGTGAAAATAATAGAAAAATAAATTATTTTTCAATTCCAACTATTAGCTCACTCTCTATATATTTATCTTCGTGGAATTTTCAGTCGTTAATAAAATAAGTTTTAAAGCATTCAATTGAGCTAAAATTTTATATGCATTATTACAATTTAATTATAATTAATAAAAATTAATTGATTAAAACTAATTATTCGATGAATTACAAATGTAACCGTGTTGATATCACATTTTTGGCGACTTAGCGACCCTTTTGGCGACTTGTGTCAAAATTTGAAAACTGGTTTTTTTCTCACCTTTTAAAGCATTCAGTTGAACTGAAATTTTATATACACGATTGTTTTGGATGACAATACGATACTTTAATAATAATTAATAATTACCACTTAATGCTGCGATTCTGTCCTATGTATATTAATTGTAACTATTTAATAAAAAGTAGCTAAAATAAAATCTTTCTTCGTTGATCTAAGTAGGAATTGACTTAAAAATTTTTTTTTTACATTACTTGTTTTCTAGGAAATCAAGAGGGGTCCTGGTAGTTATTATAAGATTTTTTCAAAGTTTGTTATCACGCTGCCATTGCCCGTTAAGAGCCAGAGGTCTTGACGGATTACCTAGTTTAGGTGAGTTTGATTTTGTTGTTGTTGAACATTGTTAAAAAATAATACAATAGTTGACTTTCTAGCTGTATTAGAAGAAATCAGTCAAACAGTACATGAATCGTTTAAAACAGTTAACAGTTAAACTAAAAGAAATACTTTTGAAATCCTCAGCATTCACAAAAGACAAGAAATTTGTCTTGGACTTCCCTACGACTACAACTGTTCAACGTAAAAATGAACACAAGTTATATAGGTTACTCACGCAAAAACAAATGGAACCTTTAAATCCAACGTGTTATGTTGTGTTGAAAGTATTCCTTCATTAGATAAACTCCTTAAAATTGTGCAAATATTGATACCCTGCGCCAAAAAAAAAAAAAAAAAAACGTGTGATATATTTTTTGATTTAGTTAAAAGAGCAGTTAAAAGCACAAAAATGTGCCAAAAGAATTAAAATAAGAAATTTTAATGAAGTTAATTGGTGAGAAAGTTGATGATGTTTTGGTTTATATTGGTGATGACAACTAGATTACGAGAAAATAAAAACATGAATTGTAAAAGAGTACGAACCCTCTCCTTTTGTTTGCTTAGAGAATTTTAAGAAAAGCAAACTTCTCGCACGGCATAAGTATAATATACCTACATAGTATACGGTGTCCATAAACGGTATTTACGTATTATCGCGCGCTTCGTATTGAAGACCTTATATTTTTTAAATAATTAGACTAAAATTGACATTTAAATTGTATATACACTTAATAAATACATAAAAATATTTAACCATTACCTATTACAAAAAATGGATATAATAAACAGAGCCCCTAATGAACCGGAAAGAAAAAGTGAATTACTTAGCATCCGAATATGATAATATCGTAAAAGAAAACATAGTACATCCGAACAATTGGATACTGTTGCCCACAGAAGATATCATTTGTTTGTTTATGACCACACACACGACAGATTTTTTTTTCACTTTTTCTTGTTACACAAATATTCTGTGATTTTCTAAGGTGACGATGAAATGTATTTTTTTGGTGATATAAGATTATTTAACTTGTGTGGTATGAAAATTGGTACTGCTTACAGTTTGAATTCTTGCTGATTTAAGTAAACATTATGCATCAGTGCTTCTCAATCTTTCAATGTTTCCGACCCAATATTCAATCATAATTTTCATCGTGCCCCCTCGCTCTATACAACAACACTATTTTGAATTCAATAATACTACACTTTGACGCTAAAGCTACAATGCGACTTTAACCTCTTAAGTGCCACCGGGGTATAGAGCTGTGGTAGCCCAGTGGTCAAGGCATCGGATCATGGCAGGCATGTCATGAGTTCGAGCCCAGTTTCACTAAAGACCCGCCGTGTAGGGCAGCGATGCACGTTAAATTTGTCGAGAGCTGAAACATCCTCCCGTTGGTGTGGTAGTTAGAAGAGAAGGGTGCCAGCTCAGGTGTCGTCCACATCACTTGACCTCACATCGTAGTCCGTCGCCAAAAGCCCTCGAACAGTGCTACGTTAATATTCGCTCTCGACACTGGCGTATATAAAGGTATCGCTCAACTAAAACGTTAGTTTCTAAGGACATATATACACGTCTTTTCGAAGTACGATCTTTTCTGTGCATTGATTTCCATAAAATTATTCCAAAGCCTTTGGAATGCAATAAAAGGACCTTGACAGTATTTGTGAAGGATTCCCCCCCTACGAGGGAAAAGGGGACATTGGGGAGCGGATCAAGTTACTTTTGATTGATTGATTGAAAGGTTGAAGGGGATATAGAGCAACACAGGCTAAAGTTACTTTTAATGGATAGTTAAGGGATCAATTATAAGCCGTACAAATTATCAAGATAAGTGTTAATTTTTGTATATAATTTTATATGTGACGGAGCCCATCAGGTAACTGGTAATTATTAAACTTGTTCGTAACTTAGTATTGCTAAATTAGTTACAAAATACATTACATGCTGTCTTGATACCTTTATAAGTGTATTATGAGTGTAAATGTGTGTATTTTATTTTTTATTATGTCAATATATTTGGTTTGTTTACTTTCAGTAAATTAAGATTTTTTTAAAAATCAATTGCTTTCGACCTTTTAATATACTCGCCCCCCTCATAGAGTTATTACGCCCCCTAGAGGGGTACGCTCCACAGTTTGAGAAACACTGTTATACATGCATTCTTTCTGTTATATCTTGTACAGGTAGTCATCTCCTAAGAAGTAATAATTGTTTATGAATATTATTATTGGTAAACAAGTAATATAACCTCCCCCAAAAAAAAAATTGAAGCGAATTCCTATTTAGGTCAACAAAGAAAAATTTTATTTTATTTAATTTTTCATTAAGTAATTACAATTAATATAAATATGTATATACATATGACAGAATCACAATATTAAATAGCAAAATAGGAAGCAATTTTCCTTGCAATTTTTCATTTTCCTTTCTATTTATGGTGTTGGACTATTACTTTTGTTTGTTACTATTTATTCATTAATTACATTTAGTTATTCCAATAAATAGTATAGTTACAAGGAAATCATTCTCACAGAAATCAGCCTCTTCCAGGTGGGATTCGAACCCACGATCTTTAGATTAGAAGTCCTATGCGCTATCCCTACTGCGCTACAGGGACACAACGAGTGATTTTCCTTTTTATATTTGCTGTTGGACTATTATATTTGTTTGTTACTATTTATTTATTAAGGAATTAATGTTTGAAAAGACTGTATTAACATCAAGTGTCATCCGCTACAAGTTAAAAAAAAATGTATTTGAACTTGTTGATGAGTAAAAATAATTTTATTAACGATTGAAAATTTAAACAAGATATATATATATATATATATATATATATAATATATATATATATATATATATATATATATATATATACTAGCTGGTATACTCGTTCTTCGCACGGGTGAACTGAAAAATTAAAACACAGATTGAAGGATAAAGAAATTTTTAATGAGTTAATTTTACGTGAATTGCAAATTAAACAAAAAAAAACTTTTGGCGTAACTCAGGTAACAAAAAAAAAAAAAAAAAGAGAAATAAAACACCTTTGTTAAATTTTAAGTATGTAGGTCTAATAGCTGATAAAAAGGATTTTTTTTATTTATAACTCCCCGTAACACTCTTGAGGGTTGATTTTTGAAAATACCTTCCTAAGCTGATTTCTGCTCAGCAAAAGTAACACATTGTTAAAAGTTTTGTGTAATGAACGCTTAAAATAGTGTAAATAATTTTTATCTGAAAGTATAATACATTAATATTACTTTCTGTAGTATTTATTTTATGTTAAAATTGTAAAATTCACAAGCAACGCCGTTTCTTAAATTATAATGACGATCCAATGAAGAGCATAGCGAAATGTTAACGATAGAGTCAAGTTGGCAAATGCCTAGCTACTTTCATAACTCGAGCTTTATTAGAGCTTTGTAAGACCCGCCGTGTAGAGGAGCGATGCACGTTAATACTTTATCCACCGCATAATGATTTACAGCAGTTTTTTTCATACAATATTTTTTTGGATCACTACATTGAAAATTAAGAGATACATAAACAAAATACTCCACTTTGGGAAATTTAATCCGTTCGAGCTAATAAATTAAATAAAGATATTCCACTGTAAAATTAATTATATATACCGTTCACTTAAAATAAGTAGTCAAATCATTTTCTAAGGTCTTCATTAACATACAAAAACATAAGACACTTAAATTTTGACAAGCTATTTTTTCCGCTAAAATACTCATCATGGAACCCGTGCTGCCATATATCTTGGAAGAGTGGATTTCAAAGAATATTCCTGCTAATTATTGGTAGAATATTCCTTCTAAGTTGGTGTGGTGTGGTAGTTACGAGAAAGGGGTGCCAGCTCAGATGTCGTCCACGTTACTTGACTATGGTTTAAAATTACGTGATCCGTTGCCAAAAGCCCTCGTGTAGCTGAACAGTGCAACATTAATATTCACTCACTCTCACACTCCAAGAAATACAGAACAATAGTTATTGCTTTTTTAAGTGTAAAAATAATTATATCTGCCTATTCAATTAAAATTATAGCGTTATAATTAACTACTAACCACAAATAAATTTTGAAAATTTGTCCAAATGATGCAGTGTGAAAGAGAAAGCTTATTTACTTTAAGTATCAGAACTGATAAAAGCATTTATTTGGAAAAAAGATCAATTTCTTACTACCAAATATACATAATAAGATGTTAAAAAAACCCATTAAAATAAAGAGAGATTTATAGCAACCTCTCCCTTCAAAACTTAGTTTGATTTTGAAATAAAAAAAAATAGGCATTATATCAGAGGAATTAATTAGAAGCGAGCACCTTGCGTAGCCAAAACAAAAAAGGTTTTTCACAAACAAAAGATAGATATATGCAGACGTGTTTTTTTTTTTTTTGAAGCGAATGCCAGAATTGCTAGCAGAAGACAGAATTTTTTCCTACTTAATTGACAAATATCGTTATATTTTTGACACTTTCCCCAAATCTTTATAAATTATAGTCTATGCTATAAATTATAGCCTATGTGCTATTCTGATGTATAAGCTATATTACTGTAAAGTTTCATTAAAATCCATTCAGCAGTTTTTGCGTGAAAGACCAACAAAGATTTTCACAAACTTTCACATTTATAATATATATTAGATATTAATAAATATATATAGGGAAAGGAGTGTGAACTAATAGTAGGAATTATGAAAAATTGACTCTGTAAAGAAAAAAATTAAATTCTATTTTTGTATTGTAAAATAAAACTAGGAACTTTTTAACTACATGCTGATCAAATATTACACCAATCCAATCTCAAAGTTGTTAAAAAACTTCATTTGAATGTTTCTGTAAAATATTCAGGAAATACGATTAGTTTTCAAATGCTTGTAACACACAAGTGTTGGAAATAAACTTTCAATCTTATTTTACCTCAATTTTCTATCTCGCCTGTTATTTCCGCTAATTGAAGTATAGGCAGATCGCGATGCTATTTAATCATACCAACATCCAACATGCCGCATCTAATTGACATAAAGCTTTCCATAGAGTTTTTTCCTATGGCAGGGGTGCCCAACCCAAATGACCTTGCTGGCCCTTCGGAAAAACATTATAATCTCGTGGGCTGCACATAAAACTATGTACCTTTATATCAGATTTGGAAACAAAAAAACATTTATTGGAGTGAAAATTTAAAACAGAATGAATTATTATTGTTTTCATTATTTTTCATGTATACAGACATAGATAATATATATATATATATATATATATATATATATATATATATATATATATAATACAATTATCAAAAAATGTTTAAAATATTACAGTCGCTATTTTCTTGAAAATTACGGTGTTCCTTTTGAATTGATCTTTCGTTACTCATTGTTGAAATTCGATTGTGCTGTCATTCTCAAACGATTAAGTATACATTGCCTTTTATCTAAACCGTCCCGAATATTTTTTTTAAAAACTTTAAAAAACATCTCTGACTGCCTCTTGCTTTTTGGGCACTCCAAACAGAAAAGGAGAAATGAAAGTCGCGCACACAGAGAATCATGTACCATCCATAGTAAAGGATATCCATAATGCAATTCGAATTTATTAAAAAAGTAATTTATTATAGTAAAATCAAACGTAACTGTTTGATAAAATATTAATCTGTTTTAATCTAAAGGACGTTTCTATTATCAAAAAGGATTTATTTTAAAACAAGAACAGTTATCAGGCAAATACATTGTAGATTTATATATATATATAAATTTCCCCTTAATTAAATTTCAAAATGGAAAAAACTTTAAAAACCTGATATTTAAAATTTTTTTAGAGTCAGCGTGCCGCAACTTACGTGCTGGCGGGCCACATGCGACCCGCGGACCGCGTGTTGGACACCCTTGTCCTATGGCATCGGTTCTTCTCTGAATATATAAATACATGGGATCTGCTTATTCGATTCGAGAAATTGAGGGATTATTACCAGTGGCGTAGCGTGGGCTTTCGCCGCCTGGGGCCGACCAGAAATTTGCCGCCCTCTATTTTGTTAGTCAAGAAAATTAGTAAAAGTAAAAGAAAAGCAGCTTTAATTTTTTTTATTAAGAGGACATGGTACGCTTTACATAAAAATTTTTAGTTTAAGGATTTTCAAAATTTTTTTGGTTGTTTCCTATGTGTGTATACTATCTAAAACAGATTTTATGCTCAAAAGTTCATAAAAAGCTAGCTATTTAATTTTTAAGGAAAAAACTTAAAATTTGTGAAGCGATTTTAAAAGGCTACTCCTCATACAAATATTTACGTACATGCATGAAATTTGACGAACAAGTACATCAAACTATTTATAACAGAAGTTGGTATGGGTTTTGCGATAACATGATTGGTATTCGTACAATACTTCTTTTTATGAATGCTGATTGAAAACTCCTTTAAAAATGTATAAATTCTGAGTTCAATTATTTAAAAAAGAATAAGTATTGCTTTGATTCAAAAAACGCATACCAACTTTTGTTACATATACTATTAGTAATAGGTAAAAAAACAAAATTCAAAGCATTAGGCACAACAGAAAAAAAGCCTTAGCATTTTAAATGAAGACAAACCAGTTATTTTATCTTTCTGAGATAAGCAAGTTTAAAGTTTTGATTTGCCATAAGGATGTGAATAAAAACGAATGTAAAAGCTATCATAGCTATCATTTTTTAAGTTTAGAGCCTTCAAATTTTGTGAGGTTATAGAAAAGTATATAAGGATTAATTTAGGCTAAAAAAATTAGATTTGAATTTTTGACTGATTTTTGTCAATTGAATCGTTGAGACAAAAAATAATTACATAATCGGAAAGATCATTTATTTCTTCACTATATACGGTGTAATTCTTTTAAAAAAATAATGATATTTTCTATTTTTTACGATTTCTTCTAAAATGCATTTTCATGAAAATGATTTCTTAATCGTTCCGTATGAATTTTTTTTTCGTTTTAATGATTCGATATTCTGCACTAAAAAAGTTCAGGCTTTTCTCTTTTAGAATCAGTCATTTAAAAAATAAAACACCGAAAACCTATTTTTTTCTACGGTTTTTCAAAAAATACTCAAATTTTTAATAAAACATTTAAAAACTGCGTTATTTTTAAAGATGATCGCACGAAACTCTCTCTTTTTTTTTTCGTTTGTAGAAAAGTCTGCCCAAATTCTGCGCAAAGACTTAAAAAATTGTTTTAAAATTACGGATTTTTTTTTTAAAAAATTGTGTTTTTCGATTTTAATATAGTATTATAGTAAAAGCAAAAAAAAAAAAAAAGTTTTAATATATTGATTAATTTAGCTTCGTCCAATGTTGTTTTGGTCTTATAGTGTTTATCCCCGTCCCTCATTATCCTCTTGCTGCGGTTCGAGTGAAATATCTATCATATGTATGTGGCCTGGCGGAAAAAAGATTGAGTATCCTTGAGCTAGCTTGTTCAAAATTAACTGGCAAATGACCTTGCAACAATGATGCGTTGAATGAGATGAATAGACCGAAAAACCTGTCCAGTGATAAGTAAAAAGTTAAAAATAAATTAAAAGTAAAAAAAAAACTTTTTAAAAATAAACTTTTACTTAAATGCTCTTAAAAGAATA